TGTAATTCCGGCTACTTGGAAGGCTGAGGCGGAAGGATTGCCAGAGCCCAGCAGGTCGAGGCTGCGGTGACCGGGAGCGGCCACTGCACTCCAGTCTGGGCAACAGAGTGAGACTCTGACTCAAAAAAAAAGAAAAGCATATCAATCTAGTCAGTACCAGTGTCTCATGCCTGTGATCCCAGCACTTTGGGAGGCCAAAGTAGGAGGATTGCTTGAGGCCAGGAGTTCAAGACCAGCTTGGGAAACATAGCAAGACTCTATTTCTACAAAAACAAAAATAAAAAAATTAGCTGAGTGTGGTGACATGTGCCTATAGTCCTAGCTACTTAGGAAGCTGAGGTGAGAGCTTTCAGAAGTTTGAGGCTGCAGTGAACTATGATTGCACCACTGCACTCCAGCCTGGGTGACAGAACCAGATCTCATCTCTAAAAAAATAGGCTGCATGTGATGGCTCATGCCTGTAATCCCAGTACTTTGGAGGGCCAAGGCAGGAGGATTGCTTGAGTCTAGAAGTTTGAGAGCAGCCTAGACAACATAGAGAGACATCATCCCTACAGAAAATAAAAATATTAGCCGGGTGTAGTGGTATGTGCCTATAGTCACAGATACTCGGGAGGCTGCAGTGGGAAGCTGCGGTAGAAGGATTGCCTGGGTCCAGTAGGTCAAGGCTGTGGTAGGCCGTGATTATGCCACTGCACTCCAGCCTGGGCGACAGAGTGAGACTCTGACTCAAAATTAAATTAAAATTAAAAATATAAAGAGAAAAATCATCAAGCTAGATCACTGTGGGCAACTTGCATTAATGGTTGATTTCCTTTCTGCAAAAGACCAACTAAAACAAAGTAATATTTACATAGTCAATGTTGTTACTGTGATTTAAGCTCTATACTAGGTATCAAATACTTTTTTTTTTTTTGAGTTGGTGTCTCACTCCATTGTCCAGTCTGGAGTGCAGTGGCATGCTCATAGCCACCCCAGCGTCAGCCTGCTGGGCTCTAGCAATCCTTCCAACTTGGCCTTCCAAGGAACTACAGGCGCATGCTGCCCCGCCTGGCTAGTTTTTTGATTTATTAATCTCACCATGTTGCCCAGGCTGGTCTCGAACCCACAGGCTCAAGCAATCCTCTCACCTCGGCCCCCCAAAGTGCTGGGATTACAGGCTTAAGCCACTGTACCTGGCCAGTACCAGATAATTTCAAGATAGCACAGAGTAGAGAACAACTTTGGCTTTAGAGAACACATGCTTAAAGTCTGATCCCCAGTCTGACCTTTATTTTCTCCTCTATAAAGGGGAGCAAATGCAGTGTTGGGAGGATTAGATTAGATAATGTAGCTCAGGACAGTTACTAGCACACAATAGTGATGATGGTAATAGCAAACATTCACTGAATGCTTACTATGTTATTTCAAAGCTGTTTATCAATATTAAGTCATTCACTCAACAACCCTATGAGGAAGGTTTATATTTATTAGTTTTGAGGCTTCTGAGGAAGGTACTATATGTGCATTTTCACAGAAAACATTCTGAGATGTTAAGTGACTTGTCCAAAGTCACAAAGCTAGTAAGAGGCATAACTGGGATTTGAAGGCAGCATATCATGGGGATTGAGAGCACAGACTCTGGAGCCAGACTGCCTAAGTTAAATGCCCAATAGTTATTAATTATAGTAGTTCAATAAGGCCAGGTACAGTAGCTCACGCCTGTAATCTCAGCACTTAGGGAGACCAAGGCGAGAGGACTGATTGAGACCAGGAGTTCAAGACTAGCCTGGGCAATATAGCGAGCCCTTGTCTCTACAAAATATCATCAGACATTTAGTATTTAGACAGGTGTGGTGGCAAGGCACCTGTAGTATCAGCTACTCAGGAGGCTAAGGTGGAAGAATCACCCAAGTACAGCAGATCAAGGCTGTGGTTAGGTGTGATCAAGCCATTGCACTCCAACCTGGATGACAGACTGAGACTGACTAAAAAAAAAGTTCTATAAAATGGTAATGATTTTAATTTTCAATTTTTAGTATTAGCAGTTTGTTTATTTCCCTCAATTAGTAAGCTTATGAATAAGTATTGCCTTTTATTTGAGGGAACAGCCTTGGGTGGCAACAGTTCTCTTTGCCTGATTAAATATTCTCAGTGACCCACCCAGTACTAGCTTCCCGTTAGAGCTGGAGTCCCCCAAAACCTGGTCTTCCCGCTTAGCTGGTTTGGAAGCCATTCCTCCTCTTAAGGATGTCCTTTTACATTTCTCTCTTCTACTATCACCCCTCCTCCTCCACAGCCCATATTTTTAATTACACAAATTAATACATAGATACATTCATGTTGTAAGAGATTTGAACATGTAAGCAAATAGTCATTAGTGATGGAAAGTTATATTATGACCATTTATTTACAATGATAAACAATGCTGCAATTAACATAATAGTATATAAATCTTATAAAAATACAATCCTGAGGATCCTTAAAAAGAGGAATTAATTTGAATATTTAAAATATTAACAGATCCCACCAAACTGCCCTCCAAAAGCTTAACTAATATCAATGTGTCTATTTCTTCAGCAATGTGAATGTGTCAGTTTATCCCCATCCTCACCAACAGTAGTCATTATAAATTCTTTGATAATTTTTGTCAGTAGAATCAGTTAATAATACTTTGCTTTTAAAATCTACATTTCAGGCCATTCTTTTGTTAAGCCCTGGCTTGTTAAGTTCTGGCTGGGCCATGTTTTCCTAAGCTTTGGCCTCCTCCCCTACCTTGGAGAGGTGAATCACTTCTTTCTCTCCAATTTACTTTCTTTTTTTTTTTTTTTGAGTTGGAGTCTTACTCCAGACTGGAGTACAGCGGCCGCTCCCGGCCACTGCAGCCTCGACCTGCTGGGCTCTGGCGATCCTTCCGCCTCAGTCTTCCAGTAGCTGGAACTACAGGCGTGCACTACCACGCCCGGCTAATTTTTTGATTTATTGTAGAGATGAGGTCTCGCCAAGTTGCCCAGGCGGGTCTTGAACCCGCGGGCTCAGGCAATCCACTCACCTCAGCCTCCCAAAGCGTGGGATTACTGTGCCCAGCTAATTTACTTTCTAAATAAACTATATTTACCATCTAAAAATAAAAATAAATCTACATTTCTCTGATTATCCATGATGCAGAACATGTTTACATTTTCCTATATTTGGGAGCAAATTTGGTCACTTTCTTTTTTTTAAGTCGGAGTCTCTGTCACCCAGGCTGGAGTGCAGTGGCATGCTCACGGCCACCATGGCCTTGACCTGCTGGGCTCAGGTGATCCTTCCGCCTCAGCCTTCCAAGTAGCTGGAACCATAGGTATGTGCCACCATGTCCAGATTTTTTGATTTATTGTAGAAACGAGGTCTTGCCATGTTGCTCAGGCTGGTCTTGAACTCCTGAGCTCAGGCAATCCTCTCACCTCCGCCTCCCACAATGCTGAGATTACAGGTATGAGCCACCATGCCTGACTGGTCACTTTTCTATCAAGCTATGTGTTTTTTCTTATTGATTTTTGGGTACTTTTTATTCTGGATAGTAATCCTTTTTGTTATATGTTACAAATAGGTAAATCTAGTTCAGCTTTAGAGGTGCAACTCAACTAATTCTCCTTTCTTTTCTTTTTTTTTTTTTTTTTTGAGTTGGCATCTCACTCTGTCACCCAGACTGGAGTGCAGTGGCTGCTCCCGGCCACCGCAGCCTCGACCTGCTGGGCTCCGGTGATCCTTCCGCCTCAGCCTTCCGAGTAGCCGGAATTACAGGCATGTGCTACCACGCCCGGCTGATTTTTTGATTTATTGTAGAGATGAGGTCTTGCTGCCCAGGCGGGTCTCGAACCCGCGGGCTCAGGCAATCCGCTCACCTCAGCCTCCCAAAGGCACGGGATTACAGGCTGAGCCACCGAGCCTGGCTAATTCTCCTTTCTTTGAAGTACACACTGCTTGCTCTCTTTGATAACCCACAGCACTGAGCACTCATGGACCCATAGAGATCCGTCTTTATCTACTTACCTGGCCATCCCCTTCAACCTGAAATAGGATATGTTCTTTAATCTCCTCCCAACTTCTCCCCTCTTTTCTCTTCTCATCTTCCCCAAATACCAGCACAAAGGTTCCAAGTAGATTTTAGGGTCTACTGTACTTGAGACTTGGGCCTCTAGTAGATAGGTGCTGAAGAAATGTTTGTTCCTAACGATGATGAAAGCATCATTTACACTCCAGCTTCTATGTCAGGAGTTACTTCCCCAACCCCCCTCCCACTCCCAAATGCCATGCAGGGCTAGGCGAGAATAAAATGGGTAAAGTATATTTACTGAAGAAAAATGAGAAGTGATGGCAGTTGTTATGAAGAGGAGAATACAACCTCCTTAAAGGAAGAACTACTACTCAGCTCCAGCAAATTGTTGCCAAGTGGCAATAAAAGCTCCATGCTGACAGCTTCTTCATTTTTCAAGAGTGAAAAGTCCATATTTTAATGTTAAATATACTTTTTTTTTGGGTTGGCATCTCACTCTATCGCCCAGGCTGTAGTGCAGTGGCATGCTCATGACTCACTGCAGCCCTAACTTCCTGGGCTCAGGTGATCCTTTTGCCTCAGCCTCCCAAAGTGCTGGGATTACAGATATGAGCCACTGCGCCTGGCTAATTTTTAAATTTTTATAGATACAAGGTCTTACTATGTTGCCCAGGCTGGTCTCAAATTCCTAGGCTCAAGCAGTCTTTCCACCTTGGCCTCCCAAAGTGCTGGAATTACAGGTGTGAGCCACTGTGTCTGGTGTTAAATATACTTTCAAAATGTTAGGCCAACTTTGTGTGTTTCCTGGGATGGGAACAGGTTGACAGACTCTGCATCTGTTAATTCAACAGAATCTGGCATATAGCAGGTACTTAATATTTGACTAAAAAGTTTCCCCGTTTGCTTTTTTCCTTCCATTAAACTGAATGAAACATCCAGAACAAGTGATGAAAGATAAAGGCACTTATGTCATTGTCAGGAATTAGTTCTTCCAGTGTTGTTTTATTGCCATCTCTCAAACTAGACTTTATTTAACATGAAGGCAGAGGTCACACTATTCATCACATTAGTTTCCAACATAATGCCTCAGAAATACTTGCTGTTGTTGAACCTGAGACTAAAGAAATGAAGGCCTAATTAGGTAACCAATTTACCTTTAGACTGTGATTTTACTTTGAAAATGAACATGTCCCTGTAATCATCTCAACACTCGGCACACTGATCCAAATGTGGGGTGGGGAGCATCCCTTACCCCACTTTTTGTTTTACATGACAAATATTGGTGGAACAAAATGTATAAAGCTGTGTGGGATCTGACCATGAAAATATGACAGCTCTTTATGGCAGTCATGTCCAGACCCATGGTGTCTGGCTCTCAACTCTAATCCCAAAGACTAGCCCCAAGTTTTACACCTCTTGACCCATACTTCCACCATTTAAGACTTCCTCCTCCCATAATCCTTCTGGGTGCTGGTTTCTGCAGGGCCTGCTCCTGGGGATGGATAGTTTGAGATCTCAGCAGTGGGCACTGGCGTGTTCTTTCCTCCTCTGCAGCTCCTTCCTCCGCCTTGCCTGCTGTTCACTCATGCAATCCCTGAAGGCCTGCACTTGTGGTTGGCACTGCCGCCAGTCCTGGTGCTGGGCCATGCACTCCTGCACTGCAAAGTGAGAGGCAGCACAGCCAGAACGGGAGATCAGCTGGTCCAGTGGGTCCTCTTCTTCATCCTCCTTCTTCACCTTTTGGGCCCAGGTATGGCCCTGAGGGACTGAGGATGACATCTTGGGGAGTCTATAGAATATCAACAGAGACAAGGTTAGAATAGGGATATGATTATATATAATGTTCCTGGATTATAACTAGTACTGACCAAACTGCACTGTTATAAGCCTGTGTGTCTGTTTCCTCTGGGAGACTCTAAGCTCTCTGAGGACAGATGCTTGTCCTGATTTACTTTGGTGCCCCAGTACTAGGCCTGGCAGAGAGCAGGCTTGCAGAATGCTTTGAACTGAACTGAATGAGTTAAAGTATGTGAGAACGCTTAACAAAACTCAGTAAGCTCAGTGGATTCAGCCAATGGAATATGAATTAGGTGAAATAGCATCTTTTTAAGAAGCCTATGGTCTACCTCAAAAGAATTAACTTCCTTATTTTTTCCTTTTTTTTAATTTTAAAAATATGGGGTACAATTCAGGGTTAGGTATACAAATATTCATTATGCAGTTACCCTTGTTGATGAGGTATGCCTCCCCTTCCCCAGGCAGATTCCCACTACTGCCAATCCTGTTTCCCCTCTACCCCCCAGCAGTTTCCTGCTACTGTCAATCGTTTTCTTACAGTATTATAATTGTTCAAGAATTAACTTTCTTCTTTACTTCTATTGGCTCTACTCTATGCCTGAAGAACAGTTTAAAACTTGAAAAAGTACCCAAATATGGGTAGGTTTTGAGAGGAATGGAAAGAGATCAGTATGGCTGTAGCATGAAGTATGCCAGGGCAAGAATGAGTCTATGAGGTAAGTGAGACAGCTTTGTCAATGATACAAAAATTTGAGGTGTATTTATTTTTCCCAGGCTGTCTTCCTAAGATATCTGCTTCAGAGCACCCAGTAGAGGGAACTTAAGAAAGGTTTCAAGAGAAATGACTTCAATCTTTGCACAAAGTTCACCATGATGGGCAGTCAAAAAGCTAGGACTCTTAATGCCTTTACTGCGTTTCTCATTCATTCAACAAATGATTATTGAGTACCTATCAGGTACCAGGCACTATGCTAGAGCTCAGGATTCAGGAATGCGTAAGTCAGCTAAAGTTTCTGTCTTCTTGGAGTTTACAATATAGAAAAGAAATAGGCAGTGCAATCTACTACAAGTGCATACAGATAGCTAAGACTGGGAACACAGTGGAGGGATACCTAATTCAGACAAGGGCAGAAACAGGAAGGGAAGGCTTCCTACAGAAGTGATTTTTTTAAATCTATTTATTTTTAATTATTTTATTTTTATTTTTTTTAGAGATGAGGTCTATGTTACCCAGGCTGGTCTCAAACTCCTAGGCTCAAGCGATTCTCTCACCTTGGTCTCCCAAAGTGCTGAGATTACAGGCGTGAGACACCATGCTAGACCTAGAGGAAGAGATTTCTAAGCTGAAACTTGAAAGATGAATACGAGTTAGTTGGAGACTGGAAGAATATTTCTGGTCACTGGAAGAGCAGAGGGTTGAGAAAGAATTTGACACATGAGAGGAATAAAAAGTTCAGTGACTGGAATTTGAGAACAAGACAATGAATTAAACTGGTGATATAAGTGTCTGGTTATAAGAAGGCTTTGTGACATGTTAAGGAGTTTAAGATTTTTATCCTGAGGGCAATGAGGAAGTCACAAGGGTGATTAAACACTCTGCTCAACTCATCTGCTTTGAAGGCAGCATAACTTAAGGGAGGAGAGGGAAAATGGTCTTTGAAACAGACTTGGACTTAGCTCTGTCGCTGCCTCACTGGGTGCCCTTGGGCAAGTCAATTAATAATTTCTCTTTTAAAACAAAAATGATAAAGTTTGTAAGGAGCCTGGTATGTCCAAAGAGTCAAACGATAGCTTCCTCTTCCTAAATACACCGTGAACTCTGTAAAGGCCAGGGGCAAATCTTTTAGAGCGAGAAAGGTGGAATGGAAAGTGCCTTGGATCCTATGCCAAGAGATCTGGGTTCGAATCACAGTTACAACACCTTACCTTGTAATCCTTTTCCTCATTAATATTTAACGTATACATTCTCAATGAGGATTGATATTAATATAGTGAATGAAAAGTGCTTTGGCTACAATAGGACTCAGTAATAGCTAATGGGCTGTTCTCCCACCACCTTCAGTCTCCCTTGGAGTAAAGTGAGGAAGAACCCCACTCACGGATCAGGGCAGACTAGATGGCTGACAACAGGATCGTGGACGCTGGGCTAGCAAAGGCACAGAGAGGACGGGAAAGCTGAAAAATGCAAGTGGCCAGATCACCTGAAGCTCCTCTCCCACTTGAAGGTGAGGACGCACGCGCGCTCGCAATCGCCTGGCGCAATCTCCTGCGCCTCCAACACCTCCCCGCGCAAGAACGCAGTACGCGGCGCTCACCGAACAGGTGGGAGAAGAGGATCCAAACGCGCGCTCCTGCGCTGCAGAGCGGGCTTCGCAAGAAGTTGGGACTCTTCCGTTCCTCCTCCCAGGAAACAACCTCTTGCGGGAAACGCGCTCACGGAAGGGGCGGGAGAGCCAGCCCAGCGCACTTTCTGATTGGTGACCCCGGTGTAGAACCCGTCCTCCGTCCTCGCCGCACCCACTTCCGGGAAGGGGCGGAAGAGGCGGGCTGGTGGAGGCGGGGTCGAGATGGCGGCGCCTTTGAGGATTCAGAGCGACTGGTCTCAAGCCCTCAGGTGAATCCAGGCCCAGGCTACGGGCAGACGAGGCGGGTAGCGGATGTTGCCTTTACTTCAAGGAGAGCCATGCCCGTTCAGCCTATCCGTAGGGGTTACCTCATCAATTGTTGAGGGAAATGGAGGGCACAGCGTTTAGAAAAAGAAATCTCAAACCCATATGGTCATTGTTTTTCGGTCTGTGAACAGCTATCCCGAGGAACTGAACATGCGCTGTGTAATCCCTGCGTCAGAACTAGGATCAGTGAGTTGGAGAAAGACAGGGACACTGAGAGGCAGAAGACTCTTGGCCAAGTAGTCATTTAGCAAATATATATTGGTCATCAGTTAACTGGCCACAGTCCCTGTACTCAACACCACTTTGTGTGTGGGATGGAATCTTTGTATCCTCCTAGGCCCCTGATGCTATATGAGGAATACTAGATGATTCTAGTCAGCAGTCACCTACCATGTTACACCTACCATGTCCAGGCCCGGTCTAGGTGCTCAGTGGAGCTCAGATGTGTACTCTAAATATAAGTAATGGTTCCTGCTCTTCAAGAAGCTGACTTCTTAATTGGAATTGGGAATCACACAGCAAACCATTCAGTTAGCATAAGTATTGAGCCAGTTATTTATCAAGGTATCGGAATGAGTATAGCAGTGCCATTAATAGCAACTATTATTACTAATAAGGGTTTTTCAGATTGAAACAGTGGTGAAGATGAGTGAAAAATAGCCTCCTGCATTTAAGAAATGTATTACTTACTAGGTGGGCTAAAATAAAATGCAGACTACTTACTAGTATGCAGAATATGATAAGTAATAAAGAACAGTAGCATTTTTAAAGTGCTACTAGGTACCTATTAGAAAATACAGGATCAGAATCAAAGGACATACCCAAGTTTATGCAGCTTGTCATGTGATAGAGGGTTGCTATCAACCTAGATTTTTCTTTCTTAAGAGCCTAGGCCCACAGCCGGGCTCGGTGGCTCAGCCTGTAATCCCGCGCCTTGGGAGGCTGAGGTGAGTGGATTGCCTGAGCCCGCGGGTTCGAGACCCGCCTGGGCAGCGAGACCTCATCTCTACAATAAATAAAAAATCAGCTGGGCATGGTAGCGCATGCCTGTAATTCTGGCTACTCGGAAGGCTGAGGCGGAAGGATCGCTGGAGCCCAGCAGGGGAGGCTGCGGTGGCCGGGAGCGGCCACTGCACTCCGGTCTGGGTGACAGAGTGAGACTCCAACTCAAAAAAAAAAAAAAAAAGAATCCACCA